CGATAATTCCTCGAGCATCGCAAACTTTTAAATTCGATCATCTAGACTAGAGCAGTCGATTCAAATTTCCTATAAAACTTTTCCAATGAAAAAAATTCATGCAGATAGAGTTTAGAGCGTTCATAAAAAAAATTTAAAAATTGTTTTAATTTAAAAAATTATAAAAAAATATATATTTATATGAAAAATTATAACAAAAAACCAATTTAATCACTTTATTATTTCTAAAAAATTACTACTAAAAAAATAACTTTGTTATTTTTTTCTCACACGTGTGAAAAGAAATATAAGGCATAGTATAAGATAATAGGTATCAAAATAGGTCTCTTTCAGACTCTTCTTGCATTTTCCGCTCGCCTGAAGGTATACAAAAAACGTATATAGCGCAACGACGACTTCGCAAAAACGACAATGACAAAGGGAAGCAACCTCTCATGGAGGATCGACGTGCGTCGACTGCTACTAGTTGAAATAGAAAAAGAGAATAAGAGGAAGAAAGAGACAAACGCAAAGAGGCAAAAGGATAAAGCAGAAAGGAGCGAAAAGAGGATAAGACAAATGCGCAATGTGAAAAACAGAAAGGAATGGATATAGCGGAAATTCACAATGAGAATAAGAGATCTTAAAAAAACTACGAAACAATGTCGTAGGACATGTCATCTGAAGACCGTATATTCTGAAAAAAATCGACAAAAATAGGAAGAGATATTAATACATTAGATTAGATAGTAATATATTCTTATAATTATACATTTGTTATGTTAGTACTATTAATATTAAATGTTTTAATTTTTCGCTTAGATTGAATACGTTTATTAATAATTTCCTTCTCTCTTTCTATGTATATATGTATGGTCTAAAAATACTCTAATATCATCCGATTATGGCACCCTGTCCGGAACAGCGTGTACATTCGTCCAACGAAATACATACGCATCTGCATCGGAAGTTTACACGAGCTGTGTTGTAACGAGTATGACATCGTGGACAGCAAACAGCGCGTATAGCAGCGGTATTACGTATACGGGTTGCGACGACACGGCATCAGGGACACCGAGCTACTTATGAGGCCGAGTCGCTACCGGAATTTCAAATGGAGAAAAGCGACTGGAGAGGAGTACGGAAAAAGCGATGAAGTCGGAAAATGACGAATGTCCGCGCCTAGACAATTACGAGAGCTTCTTCATCATGAAACATCGGAAGAGAAAGAAAAAATTTTAAGCGCCATTCTTTTTGCGTTTTATGGCATTCATCCTGCAAACAAAATATTAGAAAAAAAAATAAATATTTCTTTCAAGACAATTTTTTTCCTGCAATCAACAGATTAAAAAAAAAAAATTCAATAGAACTCACGCACAACGAGAGGAATAAGGAACAAGGAATTAAACATAGAGAAAATGTCATAGTCGCATCTTTTTTCAAGACGCGGTCTTGATGGTCTTGATTCTCTGACAATTCTCTCTATATGTTTAATTCCTTGTTCCTTTATTCCTCTCATTGTGTATGAGCTCATATTCTCTTTTAGAAAATAAAGAAACATTTGCCGGCATTACACGTATTATCATTTCGTTCTTTTATTGCCCTGAATACTATGTCCCTGACAACTAAATAAAATTACATTTTTCACATTTTTTAAACATAACTTTTTTCCAAAATGATTGATTCTATAATGAACATTTTCCTATTTGTCTATTTCAGAATTAACATTACGGTATTATTTCTCCATCTCCAAAATGCACTGAATACGGTTTAAATCGATACTTCAGATGCAGAAATCTCCTTCGTGTCGGGAAAAAACGCGAACGGCGAGAGATTCTTTACTCGCCCCCCGACAGACGAAATAGCGCAGATTTACGCTCGTTTTAGAGTCCTTTTTTTTTCGGTTTACGAAGCGAGCATGTCAAATAGCCAATCAGACTCCTATGGGAAAGAAACGAAATAACTGCCGCAATCGATGGATTTTCCTCACTAGTCGAGATCGTCGTTTCACGTGTATGCATAAATAACTATATATCGTCTTTATCGCATTATCATTTTTATAGAATTTATATGTAAGAAAAATATTATTAATTAATTTTTTAGCTATAGCTTTAATTTATTATTAATACCTATAAATTTTCTACTAATTAAGCAAAAGATTTTAAATCTAGTCGTTATTTCTATGAAAGTTTTAGAAAAAAAAGAATAACTGATGCACTTTTTTATAAACACTTTTGAGTTTCTAGGTTCCTGTAGAATTTTTCTGATATCCTATTTTATTTGAAAAAAAAAAAAAGGATTAAAATCAGATACTGATTTTATTTTAATAATATATATAAAATCTTTTAGGATTGAATAACTCTTATATTCGCTACTCAATTTTATTTCACAAATATTGTATTCTTATTCTCTTGTATCTTTATTCCATAAGAAAATAAAGAGTAGCAAAAATAAAGCTGCAAGCAGTAAATATAAATAAAATCGCGATAATCTCATCGTTGCCGGTGGCGAATATTCCTACGAAGATTACTCTCCTTAGCATCCAAGTCGACGAAGCGACTCGGTATGCTAATACCGACGCGACGCGGATAAAAATGTGGCTAGCAATCAGCGTTTATATGAAAAACACTCCTCCGACACCCCTCCGACATCCACCCTGACAAACTGCCCCCGACCAACGTCGCCGCTTTGCGATGCCGCGATATTACTCGAGCCTTGCCTCTGCGAGCCAACAAGTCCGCACTCTTCTCCTCTTGCGGCTTTCTTTCATCGTCGAGAGCGGGAAATAACTGGAACTTTGGACGGATAATGCGAGACGCTCACACCCTCAGCCACCCTCTCACGCCGTCCTCCATCCCGCGACTTTTCTGCGGATTTTCATCGAAAATCTTCTTTATTCGTCTGTTCATCTGCAAGCGTCAGCTTTCTCAAAATGAGCGAGATAACAGAAGTAATGGCTTGTGCTAAAACGCTATCCTACGTTACAGCCATTTTATATCGTATCTTGTAAGCTAACTACTGTTTGAATATATCTTATTTGATATTTTTGATCAAAAATCAAAGCTTTCTGTATTAAACAATTTATCACCTCCAATAAAATGTAATATTCAATACAAATATCTGTGTAATATTATATAATTTGCAGGATATCTTAATATTCTTGTCTCATTAAAAATATGAACTCTATTATTTCTTAGCAAAAAGATTAATAGTGATAATTGTTCAAACAAAAATAGATTTCGAATTTCACAAGAAATAATATATCTTCGCGAACTATAATTTTCATGAATGGATTCTAGAACATTATTTTAATGTTGCTGTGCTACGATACAACGAGACGGGATCACCGAGATGTTAGAAGTCGTCGGAAGGAGATCATCGAAAATGATGCACAATTTTGGCGCCGCGACGCCACGTTGTTTCGCGCGCAAAACACAATGCAACCGGCTGCAGCGACAGACCCTCATGAAAAATTGATCTCCAGCACTGAAAAGAGCGTAACACCGTGTTTCCAGCGCGATAAGTGGACCTGAATAAAATATGATTAACGACGGATCGTTACTCTTGTGCCAAGTTACTGCAGCTACTGTGTCGGGAGAGGCATGTATCGCGTGTGCTTTTCGTCTCTCGCATTGTCGTCGTACGAAACAATTTCGGACGGTAAATCATGCCAAGAATTCCACGGAATTCTTACGTGACCGCGCACCAACCGGGATATATATTTTAATGACAAATTCTTTGAGAAACTCGGAAATAACCTCCTCTGAATACTTATAATAAATGACTACCAAATGTTATTTTCTTTTCACACATTTTTGACTCAATATCCCGGAAATTGAATTTGAAATCTCACAACAAAGTTTGCGTGAAAACATCAACGGATAAGCGCGATTTATTTTCAAATTGGTAAATTAAACTGTGCGTTAAATTTTTGCTGAAAAAGACCCGTTTCAGATTAATCCATTTCGAACGATCATATCGAGTTATCGTCTCCGCGAGTTGCGGAACATTGTAACAGAATTCCGCTTCCGATAAACGATCGCGAGTTAACGCGATTAGCTCGTACGACCCGAGTCGAGAAATCCTGACTGGCAAATTGGATTCTATTGGACTTGCAATTTTCAGGCACCATTAGCGACCCTGCGGGAGAGACGTACACCACTCGGCCCTGCTCAATGGCGCGGGGACCATTTGGGATCCGCGGCCGCGAACGGGGTCCAATCGAGTACAAGGCTAGAATAGCTAAATCGTAGCCGTATCGTGAAAATTGTCGTGACGGCCGCGATTGCACGGAATATAAATTAGCAGTATATCGACAGTTTTATACTGACATTATTGTCCGCGAAAATTTGCAACCGTTATCAAATAAAAACTTCGCATTTCCTTACTTAAATATTAATGACTATTTGATTGAGCATATTTTATTTAGAATCGAAAATATCTTCAATTAAAGACGGACACAAGGGAATATTTCCAAAGTTTGGGCGAATCACATTTGAGCATCACAGAAGACAAAGATTAATTCTGTTTTTTGTAAATTTCTTGATTTTTGTATTCACAAGGCACATGATATAAACTTATAACTTTATCAATGATCTCTCTATCCTTTTTATTTCATGGAACTGGTCAGTTCAGTTTTTGAGAATCTCATTTGTCTCCGGGATGCATTATTTATATTTTGTTTCTACCGAAACGTCAACAACTCACTGTTATTCTAGCTCGAGACAGTACAGAAGTATCGCAGGAATTCCTAAATGCGACGATCGGCGGCGGAGCATCGAAAAATTCTTACGTCTTCGTTTGGACGGCGGCCAAGGACGGGTTGCTCAACTTCGACACTCGCATCTACATTCGCGATGGTGCTCTCCGTCTCCCTCCGTCTGACGTACAATGTCACCAGAACAATAATTGCTATGCGCGATTACGCCAGTCGAAAACGATAATCGCGAGTCGGTGCACGTACGCCTGAGCGCGTATAAAAGTACGCCACCCCGAGAGCACGAGCATCAATCGATCTTCGATCTTCGAGCTCTCCGAGGCTTTCCCGATCCTCTCTCAACAGCCAGCAGACATGAAGTACTTCGCTGTGAGTAAAATAATTGCATTTCTCTTCGTAATATCGAGATTGAGCTAATATAACAGCTAATGTAATAAGAACATCAATAGATAGTCGAAAAATTTTTGACTGACTTTCGGACAGTAACATTTCGCGATACTTGTTCAATTCTAACATGGAAAGAAATGTCGAGTCAAGTTTAAAAAGCTCTCGTCTCACCATCGATAATAAAAACAGAAAGCATTTTCTTTATTTTACGCTGGCCTGAAGCATCAATTTAAAAAACTGGAAATTCAATAGTCCAGAGTCTTTCAATTTCACGTGTTCTTTAAAGAGCGTATCGGACGCTTTTTAACGCAGTGACACGCCTTTATACTTCTCTTTGACGTCCACAGGCTATCGCTCTGTTCGCCCTGGTGGCCGTCGCCCTCACGGAGGCGAAACCCACCGGAGTGGAATCCATCGAACCGGCCGCGGCAGCGCGGGCCGAGTCCACCTCGCCGGAAGCGGGCAGGAACAAGCGAGGGCTGCTGCTGAGCGCGGCTTACACAGCGCCGCTCGCTTACAGTGCATATACCGCGCCAGCCCTCTCGTACTCCGCATACAGCTACCCCTATGCGTACACGGCCTATTCGGGCTACCCCTATTACGCCGCCGCCTACAGTGCGTACAGCGCGCCCTATTACTTGGCCTAAATACGCGACCGCACGAGCCCGAGGGAACACGCCAAACTACCGACCAGCCTCTCTAATTTCGACCGGCCGCACGAGGAGAACACACTTGCAACGCGATCACGTAAGATAGTTTCATCGACAGAAGTATCTCAATCGGAATATCCGATCCGATACGTCAAATAAAATCTGTTTCCGTCAAGAAAAGTGTTCGGTTCGTTCACAAGTGAAACGGGTTATCTATTTGCTTAGATTCGATTTTCGTGGATAGGAATTTCGTTTTACGAAGGTACTTTACTCGAGTTGCGTCGGTTCTTTGTAAATTATTCTTTGCAACTTGTTCAAGAGTCATACAGGCACGCGGAAAAAATATGGGCATGACGCAAATAGTCATTCGTATGCATGACAGAGATTCTAAGAGGAACGCGAACAAACAGGAAGCGACCCATATTAAGAATCAGGCCTTATTCGAGTGAGGTACCTTCACTTTCGTTGCCGGTAATACCTCTCTTACAGTTGTATCTGTGGACTATGTTATTTACTCTCTAAGGAAAATACTCATACATTTATATGATCTATTTGAGGGACACTTATTACACCATCACATATATATGCACACGTATCTCTATAGTATCTCTTATCAAATAATCTACGTATTTACATGAACATGAATGAAACGGACCGTCCACCATCTGGATTTGTACAAAGAGAACCATTCGCACAACGCGAGATATGATATACATATATTACATTGCACTTCATTTTATAAAATGTGAAAAAAGATCATTGATAAAGCGTTGTCAAAAATGTCTCTTTGCGCATATACGATGCATTTACCATATAATTCAGTGAAAATACCGCAATTATGATATCACATACAGTGTATTCTGCTATTTCGCCTAAATGTCTGTATAAATCTGAGTTGTCACCAAAAGAATCTCAGCAGCGTGACTCTGTATAATATATCTCTTATCGCATAAAATATTAACAAAAAAAATTGACGAAACGCTGCTAATTCTTCTTCGCGCTTGTGTATCTTCTATAAGATATCTGCTGTGTATTCATAAATCATGTAAGTCACTGTAGAAAATCAAAATATAACGCATAATACAACAATACTCACAATGTTTTTCTCTTTCCTATTACTTCGTAAAATTTATCTGTAAAACGGCGTATTTTTAACAAATACA